CCCTTATAATCTAGGTTCCCCAGTAGCCCCTTAATAATAAGGCAACAAGAAAAAGTGCAAAAGGGTACTACTGAGGCCCCTTATAATATTAGAACCGTCAAGTCGCCCCGTATGTGGAACCCTCTGAGGTTTTCACCTGCAAGCCAGCACTCACGGACTCCGCGTTCTCGCCTTGGTAGCGCCGGGACTAGGAGTCCTGTCACTGTCACTTAGGACTGTTTCACCATGAAGCGCCAACCCCGCCTTCAAAGTGATGCCGTTGAGCCCTGAAAGCCTTCCCTACAAGACGGTTTAGGCTCAGGGTTTAGGGTTTAGGAAAGGTCTTTGGGCTTCAAAGCATCACAGAGCCATAGCAGTTGAGGGCTCGGGGTTCAGGGTTTGGTGGGACTGCAAAGACAGCTCCGGCGCACCTCAAGAGCTAGGTTGAGACGGGGTTCGGATGTGGGGCTTTTCAGGTTTTAAGGCTGTGGAGTCGTGGGTCAGAAGCTGCCCTGCTGCGCTTTTCGGTTGCCTGCACGTCTCACAGGTGCTTCTGCAGTCTTGCTTCTCATTAGTCTACATGGCGCCCGAGTCCCGTTTTCACGCGATCTTGCGGGCGCAGAACCCGCTATCCTACATCTATCCATGGGAGGCTTCAAGCTATGGGGAACTTGAGAAAAGGGACCCTCACACAAACCTCGAAATCAGCCCTAACAAAGAACCCCGCCCTGCTTGAACATTCCCATAGCGGTATTGAACTTATTAAACTTTCATTGAGACTTTTAAGCTATGATACTTTGTATCCCAATACAACCCGTATCTGGCCGGGCATCTTGGACTCAAGTTGGGCTGAGGGCCTTTGCCCCCGGACCTCACGAGACCTATCTACCGGTGAAACACAGGGGCGCAGCGTGCCGACCGCATAGGGCCATCGTTCCGGCACAAGTTCCCCATAGAGCCGTTTTACCTCGGACGTGTTTCGAAAAAGCTGGTGTGTGTGTGTGTGTGTGCGTGTAGCCCTAAGCCCTAAACCCTAAACCCTAAATCCCTAAACCCTAAAACCCTAAACCTGAAACCGTCGGGCAAAAGGGTTTCTGCGAGAAGATGCGCGCAATGACACCAAGGCTAGAGCTGGAAACAAACTGCAAGATACGGCTATCCGTTGGGTACCGCCCCTTCTCTGTAGCAGCTTAGATCATATTCATAGCTATACTTATATATAGCCCTTATCATGACCCCTGCCTAATACAGACAATTACAGGATATTATTCATAGCTATACTTATATAAAGCCCTTATCATGACCCCTCATGTAGACGATTACAGAGTGGGGGCCATACCGAGGCTATCCGACATCAACCCTTCCTCCCGGTTCCCAGCTTCTTCGGCCAAGTGAACTTGTTTCCAGCCAACAGGGCCGTCTCCTCGCAGGGCAGGGTACTTGGAAGCGCACTGTTGAAAGAAGGCAGGTCCTTTAGAAGTTGGGTACTTAGACTACAGAGCTAGGCTTCAGCATAGTCGTGTGACCGCCCTAACCTTTCGGAAGACATCAAGGAATTTCGGACTTGTTCTTGGCTGTATTGATTAACACCGGCTTGTCGGGTCTATTATACTATGACGAGATTGGGGACTATAAGGACAAACTCCGACGAGTTTTCCGACACCCGTCTATTAGGATGCTTCTTGGGAGTTTCACACAATAAGCTGATGTATGATGTAGGCAACAAGCAATAGGATCCTTTTCATAGCTTAGGACCCGCGGATGCAGGAAATGAGGGGGCCGCTCATTTTGAACCGCAGTCGTGGTTTCGTAAACTAACACCCCTGTAGCATACAGCAGGCAACCCCAACCCTGAACCCTAAATCACCTCCCTAAATCCTAAACCCTAAACTCTAAAGGAAGCCCTAAACCCTAAAAGACACCCTAAGCCCTGAACCCTCTAGATCCCTTTGTCTTGAACCCCTTTTTAAGAACCCTCAAAGAACCCCAAAATTAAACCCTACGCCCCCAAACCCTCCCAGATCTTCTTAAAGAACCTCTTAGACAACTCTTAAAGAACCTTAAAGAACTCTTGAAGAAGCTTTGTAAAGAGCCCTTTTCAAGAACCCCCTTTCAACAACAATGGTTGAAGAAACCTTAAAGAACCTCTTTAAAGAACCTTTTTAAGAACCCTTTTCAAGAACCGCTTAAAGACCCTTTTGAAGAACCTTTTTAAAGAACCCTTGAAGAACCCCCTACCCTAAACCCTAAGCCCTAAACCCTAAACCCCAAACCCCCAAACTCCTTAACCCTAAACCCTAAACCCTTAAAGAACCCCTTTTAAAACACTGGCCCCCCTTTTTTTTCAGAGCCCCGAAGGACCTCCGGGGACTGGCTCTGCTTCGAGTTCGGCGCGTCCGAGGAGAAGAAGCCGCCCAAGCCGCTGAAGATTCCTTGGGGCTTTTGAGACTACAGCCCTAAACCCTAAACTCGAATCCCCTTGGTTTGCTTTGAGAGCTTCGCTTTTTGTTGGGCTCAGGGTTCAGGTTTTCGGGCTTATGATTCAAGGCTTTGCTCTGAGAGCTTCGGCGTGCTTTTGTGGTGTAAGGGAGGGTTTTACCGGCCCCTGCTCTGCTTGAGTGATGGGAACCTCCACAAAGAAGTGCTTTGACTATATTCTGCTACACCGTACTATACTATACAAGGCTATACTGCTATACTCTGTTATACTATACTATAATATGCTACACTATACTACTATACTTTGCTATACTATGCTATCTTTTGTTCTCTACCGACTCTACCATGCCACGCCCGCTCCCAAACAAAGCACCGAGCCAAGTTGCCAGCCTGTTCTGGCCGTGCTGACTTCCCATTTCCAGTTACCTTTTTGTACTCCATAAGCCTCAGCTTTGAGGGTTTATTTTTTAGGGCTTTGAGAGTTTGGGGGATTTAGGGTTTAGGGTTTGGGGAAACTGTAGACAGAAGCACGTTTCTAATATCTTCTTCCACAGCTTTCTCCAGCCCCACATCGACGAAATGCTCAAGCAGAAGCGTATTCTGGGACGATCAAGCCGGAGATTCTTTGTAGGGTCTGTAAGTGGGCCTGCAGTCCATAAAGTTTAAACCCCCAAGCCCTTACTTAAGCCATAGGCCCTAGACACCCCATAAACGCTTTGGGAAGCTAAACCCTCAGCCTCTCAGCTACATGCAATCCTGTCCGCCGAGCAGCTGCATTAATTCGTCGGGGCAATACTTGGCGACGGTGTTGTGGCCATGCGACTTGTTCCTGAGGAACTCGGACTGACCCCAACACCCTCACATAGGGGCCTACATACTGAAACTTGATGCTTGGGTACCATAGCAACAAGTGGGAACCCTCAGACATAGCAGGGCTAAATTGTCATGCACTCGTAAGCCTAATTTCGAAAGCCAAAACCCCCTCAAACCGTATAGACTCTAAACCCTAAACCCTAAAGCCGTAAACCCTGAAACTTAAACCCTATACTTTGTGATCCCGCTGTTTCGCCAAAGTCGCCAGTGGAAGACGTACAGCAAGGTGTCCGAGCAGTGCTCGAAAATCACCTGCAAAAGGCGATGCGCGCGTTTAGTAGGGCTTAGGGCTTTGGGCTTAGGGCTCACGGCTTTTTTTTTTAAGGTTCAGGGGTTTGAGGTACCCTAAATACACTAAACCCTAAACCCTAAACTTTGGGTGAGAAGGATCTTGGAGAGTTCAGAGGTAATTGGGGTTTTGCCTCTGCGGTTTTGTTGGTTTCGATCCTCTTAGTGCCATTGCCCGTTTACCCGGTGTCAGCTTTCAGTTTGGGTGGCTCAGGCTGCAGATGGGAGAACTAAATTAGGATCCCTTTTTAGGTCCCGAAAAGAGTACGGCACCCTTATAAAAAGGACATCGAGAGGGAGCCTATTTTTGAACACCACCCATATGCACCAGGTCCATTCTCACCTGCTCCTCTTGTTCTTGGGTTGGCCCTTCAAAGCCTCTGAAAAGCACTCTTCAATAAGATCCTCTCAGGCCCAATAAGGGGAAAGATACGAAAATGCTCCAGAAAGGCCTACCTAGGTTCTGAATAAAACACTTCATTACAGGCACGTGCGGTGAGCTACGCAAGTGTCGTTGCAAACCGAGTCATCTGACCGTACCCAATAGGCTCCATGGTAGTTCCTTTTTGGGTTCATACGGTTGATGATATAAAGCCTGCATTGCCCATAATAAGGAATAGACCATAATTCCCATAGATTAGGGCCCTTAAGGTAATGCAGGATTTCTATCATCAGCCGTATTTAGGATCCTATGAGGTAATCCCCGAAAGGAACTACAATGGAGCCCATGGGCAGAAGCAGGAGAAGACACTTGAACTGAAAACCCTCGAACTCTGAACCCCAAAACCCCAAACGCTAAACCCAAACCCTGAACCCTAAGCCCCAAACCCGAAACNNACTCTGAACCCCCAAAGCCCTCGAAGCCAGCTCGGAAGTCGTGGCATTCAGTATGTGAGGTAGCTCTCTAAAGTGGGGTCCCTTTTGGGGGTTCCCTAAAGGGATCTATAAGGGTTTAGGGTTTAGGGATTAAGGATAAGGGTACTATATGGGTAGTTCTCTAAATTAGGGTCCCTTTTTAGGTCCACAATATAGTACGGCACCCCTATAGAAAGGACCCTAATTTAGAGAACTACCCATGTGGGGGACATCATTGCGATTTTGCTAGATGGTTGTGCCGGAGAGTATTTCGAATTCGTCGAGACCTCTCTACCTTGAAATACCCAACACCTACTTTTTAGCTTTGGGGCCCCTACAACATTCCATATTTGGGCCTGTAGAAGAAGAACCTACCGCAAAAATAGGTGTTGGTAGGTTAAAGGTATATACCTTCCCCAATTTGAAGCCCCGAAACCCCTAAACCCCAATCCCTAAACCCTAAACCCCTAAACCCCGGAACCCTAAACCAAACCCCTAAACCCCTAAACCCTATACCCCTAAACCCCAATTTGAAGCCCAATTCCAGCCCTCCCCTTTTGCCCGGCCATGAAGGAGCCCGCCAGGGACGCCGAGAGGAGCCCAGAGAGGGTAGCTACGAAGTAGGGGTTTTCCACCCGGTAATGGCTGTCCTTCCAAGAGGAGTCAAGGGACCCTTGGGTTTAGGGTTTAGGATATAGGGGGGGGAGGAGTTAGGGGACCCTTGGGGATAAAGAGGGTTTAGGTTTTAGGGTTTAGGGTTTAGGTTCTAGGGTTTGGGAATTAGGGTTTAGGGTTCAGGGGGACCCTTGGGGATATAGACCCTCTCAATACGGTCCCGGTCTAAGAGAGCCACAAGTCGCGCTAGGAAGGGTCCCCTTTAAGGCGTACTCCCTAGTACTCCAAGCTCAGGGGGCTCCAGGTCTCTTGAGCTCACCGGGGGTTTCCATGGAGGAAGCCATCTGCCATCTTGCCTTATACTCGTTCTTTTAAGCGGAGACTCTGCCATTTTTGATGGGCTTCCCACTGACCTGCACGCGCTCCCTTTATCCCAGAACTGCTCTCTAAACCTTATAAATCCTTAACCCTAAGCACTATAATCCCCATAAATCCTGAACCCTAAACCTTAACCCAAAACCTTATAAACCCCATAAATCCTGAACCCTAAACTTTAACCCTTAACCTTTTAAACCCTACAAATCCTGAACCCTAAACTGTATCCCTAAACCTTATACACCCAATACATCCTGTACCCTTAACCTTAACCCTAAACCCTAAACCGACCGGGCTCCTTCATCTGCTGGTCGTTCAAGACTAGGAGCGTCCAGAGCATCGCTACGGAGAGTGTGAAGACACCCGAGGTCACAGCGAAGCTGATGATCCAAACGGAGCCGCCTAGGGTAGGGTTTAGGGTTTAGGGCCGTTTAGGGTTTAGGGTCATGTTGGGTGGCGCTGCAGACCTGAAGGTAAAACCCTGAAATCAAGCTCGAAGGCCTCTTCGCTACCAAGTGTTAGGTCTGCGTCGGTCACTGATGCCTGCCCAACCTCGCTTCTTGACACGCTCTTGAACACTGAATCCTACCTATAGGCCCCTAAGTAGTTCCTTTTTGGGGATTACCTTATCGGATTCTGAATATAAACCACAAGAAGGAACTACTTAAAGGCCCATGGGTAGAGATATCCAAGCTGCTAAGGCTGGAGACCTTGCCAGTATCGGCCTTGATGAAGCCGAAAGCCTCGGTTGGCAAAGCGAAGGCCCACGATGCGTCTGCTTTTCCTCCCTGAAGTGACGGCTTAGAAGTGAAGGGAGGCTGGCCGGTGTCATGTCTGATGCATATAATTATAAGTTATAAGGTTTCAGACTTAAAAGCCCCAAAAGTTCCTACTCCCCAAGGTGAACAGACCACTGCATCCCCGACGAGTCAAGTTCTTCTCATTCTTCCCGCTCAGGCTTGCCGACTTGGGGGCGTTCTGCGCGGCCGTGAGGAACGGCGTCGATGAGATGACCACATCGATGTAGGCGTCCTTGGTCAGGAACGCCAGATGCCTCAGGGAGGTTCAGACTGCAACACTATAGGGGCAGTCTACCACGGACGAAGATGATCCGAAGATGTAAAAACGTAATTTGGCTGCACCCGAACATACATTGGGCGCATGACCCCTAAACCCTAAACCATGGAAAGCCCGAAGCCCCAAACCCTGAACCCTAACCCTATAGGGGTCCCAAGTACCTAATAATCATATACTCTTCTGAATACTAACCTACCAACACTACTATCTGTAACCCAAGTACATGATTGTTTAGGTCCCTTTGGACCCTTAGGGTAATTGGTGCAGTCGCACCTCTGAGTGAAGGTGATGCAGGCTGTGCAGAGAGTGGCCAGCAGCGAGATGCAGGGATTGCCACCCTCTTTCGACTGCCGCGAGAGCCTCAGACGGAAACGCGACGAGGCTCAAGCCCGAAGCAGCAGATCGACAGTTGAGGCAAAGGATTTTGGGGTTTAGGGTTTAGGGTTGAGGGCTTAGGGATTAGGGTTTAGGGCTTTAGGATTTAGAGCTTTAGGGCTTTGGGGTTTATAGGGTTTAGGGTTGAGGGCTTGGGAAGTTTTCGCAGTCTGGAAGACAAACGGCCATATTCTTGAGGAGGACGTCGCTCCGAAGCTCAAAACATGCTCGCAGTAGTCGACTACATCCGAAACCTTAACTAAACCCCAAAACCCTAAACTCTAAAACCCTAAACTCTGAAACCCTAAACCCTAAACCCTAAAACCCTAAACTCTAAAACCTAAACTCTGAAGCCCTAAACCCTAAGCCTAAAACAACCAAAAAAACCCAAAATGATAAAGAACAAAAAAGCCATCCAGAGATTCCGGCCTCTACGCCAAAGCTGTTCAGTGCTCCAGCGAAATCTCCCAAACTTGCGGACTCGCAGCCACGTCTCTACATGCCCTATATATATATATACATACAGACATGTATGTGTGTATGTATATATATATATACATATACATGTCTGTATATATATATATATCTATCTATCTTTTTTATATAATGGCATAGCCTTTTTTGACAGTCTCGTCTACGATGCCCCGAAGACCCTCTCAAAGGGTCCTAGGTACTGTTATGGAGGGGATACTTTCCATAATCATAATAAGGATTCTTAATATAGAAACCCTACATTCCATTATATAGGTACTTGGGACCCTTCGAGCCTCGACTTAAACCCCAGACCCGAAGACCCCAAACCCGAACCTCTTCTAATGCAGGACTCGCAGCCACGTGAAGGTGATCCGGAAAGGCCGTGTCACTGCCTGGGTTGTGGTTTTTTCGGACCCTGAAAAGTATTTATGAATAGGTACCTACCCTCAACCCTAAACCCTAAACCCTAAACCATATAAACCCTAAACCCTAAACCATATAAGCCCTAAACCATATAAACCATATAAACCATATAAGCCCTAAACCCTATAAGCCCTAAACCCTAAACCCCCAAACCAAAAAAGGAGAAAGTTTAAAGCTTCCCACATTGCCACCCCAGGCTGCTGTCATGAAGGAGCCCAAGGCCTCGGAGGCTTTGGGAAGCTTTGGGAAGTCGGCTTTAGGGTTCCATAGGGCTTTAGGGTTTTAGGGTTTTAGGGTTTAGGGTTTTAGGGTTTAGGGTTTTAGGACTTTAGGGTTTAGGGTTTTAGGGTTTAGGGCTTTAGGGTTTTAGGAATTTAGGGTTTAGGGTTTAGGGTTCCATAGGGGCTTCAGGGTTTTAGGGCTTCAGGGTTTAGGGGTTTTTATAATAGGGCTTAGGGGTTATAGGGGTTTTAGGGTTTTATACCGTTGATGATGTAAATCCTGCAGTTCCTTAAGGACCCTAAACTATGGGAATCATGGTAATATTCAGGTCTATTCCTTATTATGGGTATAGGACGTAGGGTTTAGGCTTGAGGGTCTAAGGCTTGGGGTTTCGGGGTTAGGGCTTCGGGTTTAGGGTTTAGGGCTTCGGGTTTAGGGTCTAGGGCTTGGGGTTTAGGCTTTAGTGCGTCTGGCTTCAGTTGGGGTTTGCAGGGGTTTTACTATTTTTTTCGTAGGCATGTGCGTTTCCCGCTGCTTGGTAGCATTGACGCGTGTCTTCAGCGCGTGATGTGTCTCCGGGCCATCTCCGTTGCAAACCGCTGTTTATTGGGCTTGTGGGCCTCGCGATTCTTAGAGTGAAGGTCGGTTGTTGCTGACTGTTTCTGGGTTTAGGGTTCAGGGGTTAGGGGTTAGGGGCTAGGGTTTAAGGTTTAGGGTTTAGGGCTCAGGGTTTCTGACTGTTTCTGAAGGAGCCTGTCTGTCGTTCCTGCTGGCCGCCCTTGCTCCAGTCGAGCCGGCAAGCTTTCAAGCGAGCTAGCCTCCGGCCCAGGCTTACAGTGCATCCAAGGAGCTATGGTGCCGAGGTGAAAGAAGAAGCAAACAATCAACCCCCTCATCAAGGGGAAGGACCTTTGTGCCGGAACATCTCGGCTTTCAAAGGGATGTTCCAGGGGCCTTCGCCACGGCATGGCAGGTGGATGTGGTGTGGAGCTTGCGGTTTGGGATTTCAGGCTGTTCAATTCCACATGCTTCCACCCTCTTAAAAGTCGGGACAACGTGGTCAAGCATGGTAACTTTGCCAAGTTGCACAGCAACAAGCAAAACCACCCCCGGCCCTGACTCCCGATTGCTTTGAGGCCCGGTGAGGTTCGCTGGCTTTTCGGCCCAGGGACGGTCCAAGTCCTTTGGGCTTCGGCTGGTAATACCACAGGATCACCTTGCTGCACGTCGGAGATGCATGGGACCAAAGTTCTACCGCAGGCACATATGACATTTCTCATCGTGGACATGCAAATGTGGGAAGCACCACAAGCACTTTCCCAGAGAACCCAATACCCCTTAAATAAGGAATATATCCTTCATCATAATATTAAGAACCCTATAATTTAAGGCATATTCCGGCCTTTTCCTCATTTAAGGGGTATTGGGTTCTCTGGGTTCCTGAAAAGCCCCAACCCCTCCAAGCCAGCCAGTGGGCAGCATAGGACACCACGAAAGTGGTCAGCGACTTGCTGAGCTCCACCAGCCATATGGTGCCAATGACGTAGTAGACCTACGGTACGTGTCACATGGTCCAGGAAAAAGACTTCTATATGTGCGTTAGAAACTAAGTTCCCAAGTGTCCCCCAAAGCAGGGTACCCCTTTCCCGCATATGCAGCGTGAAGAAGGGAGCTCGAATATTAAGGGGCACAAGGGTACTAAGGAATGAAAACCCGCGCCGGTCGCACCTGACTAGCTTCCAATATCCGGGTTTATATAAGGCTTCTAGAGACAAGTGGGGGCGTGAAGGTCAATATCTAGGCGGGCTTGAACAATTCGAACTGCGCTTTGGGGGTATAGCATAATGGGGATTATAAGGAGATGCGATTAGTAAGTGTGTTTAGGGACGGATCTGGAGTTCAGAAACAGACCCTAAACCCTAAACCCTAATACCCTAAACCCTAAACTGGGGGTTCAGAAACAGATCCGAAGCACCAGCATGGCTGTCTGCTCGTGGCTAAAGACCAGCTTGCGGGTCATCCCAGCCACCACGTCCCCCCGCGACTCCTGCAGACGAACCGAGGGTTTGGGGGTTAAGGTTTCAGGCTGTTTGGGGTCTATAGGTTTGGGGGCTTTAGGGGTTTAGGGCTTTAGGGTTTTAGGGTTTCAGGGTTTAGGGTTCAGGGACCCTGGGCGCAAAGGCGCAAAGCTTAAGCTTCATACATGGGGTTCTGGACATCGTGCCACTGCCAATACCCTGCAACTGTAAATCCCTCAGAATCCCTTAAGGCCCGCTCTTGGAACCATAATAAGCACCAATATAGCTAATGTCCCTGAGAGTTTTATTATCATTCTGCTAGAATCAAAGCACAGTTTTTTAAGAGCACTAAGAAGATCATGACCAATAAACTCAACATAACCCTATGCTTCCAAGGACCGAATAGTTAGAGCCCCGGGCCCCTGAAGGACCCAATCATAAGGTCCCTGGAAGTACATAGGGTAAGACACCATTCCTAAGAGCACTCAACATCTTAAACCCTAAACCCTCAACCCCAAACCCTAAAACCCCTAAACCCCCAAACCCTAAACCCCTAAACCCTAAACCCTGACCCTCGCCAGTCCAGGCTTGTTGGTTCCATTTCGGCGGTGGCCAATAGCCAAGTCAACCCACTGAAGAGCTGGAACCTCGGGTGGTCTTTATTAATGTATGTCATATAAACGAAATCTGTACTTGATTTGCTGCATACCTCGTTGAAGGTTGAGGGTTTAGGAAATTCTGCTCATAGAGTCGTCCTCATGCTTCTTCTGCCACTTTCTTGGGGTAGAGAATTGAACCCACCCTCCCTGACGCATTCAACCCTAAACTCAACCCTAAATTAAACCCTAAAGTCTTTGAGCATGCCGGGACACCACAAGGCGAGTTTGACGATAGCCTTGCCAGAGGGGTCGTCGGCTCTGCTTTTGGGGCTCGGGGCAGGCTGCTCAGAGGATCATGGGACTTAGTAATTAGGGTTCTAAATAAGGTAACTATATTTACATTTGATTATACCTCGAATTAAGGTACTTATAACCTTGCTGACTAAGTCCCATGATTCTCCAAGTGCCTCCAACTCCGGTACACAGCAGGCCCCAGAGAGCCCAAATACTGCCTGATTAAGGCCTCAGTCTGCGCTAAACCATGACGTAATAGAACGTAATAGAACAGAATAGAACAGAATAGAACGCAATAGAACAGAATAGAACAGAATAGAACAGAATAGAACAGAATAGAACAGAATAGAACAAAATAGAACGTAATAGAACGTAATAGAACAGAAAAGAACAGAATATTGAAATCAAGCAAGGCCTTTCCTTATTCATAGGGCTCTTTGGGCTTAGCAAGAAAAAGCTGGTTCGCCTCCACGCAAGGCGTGAGCATCATCGAAGGCATGCCTTGGAAGACTTGAAACTCGTGTTGTTGTTTATTGTTTAGGGCCCGGGGGGTGGGGTTTTGGGTTTCGACATTTGTGCGAGATACATAACAGAATAGCTTCAGGGTATTGGGAGACCTATGAAGCGCAGCTTTTAGCTTATTTCTTGTGGGCTTCTGGGCTGAAAAGCATCAAAGTCGCCAAAGATGCAGCCTACCGCCATGTTGACACAGCCGACGGCCGTGTAGATGGCGCGTTGCATCGCTGCGAGGCCACACACCTAGGATGTTTAGCAGCGCATGCCTTGCTGGGTTCTTGTTAAGGAAATTAGTTTCAGTTACCATATAATAATAGGGATCTATAGTAAATAATAGGGCTTCTTTATCATGGTAACTTTTAATTTAATTCCTTAACAAGAGCCCAGCTTGGGGCCCTTGGAGTTGTGAAAGTGCACAGCAACGTTTCTACAAAGCTTGGTTCAAGGATCCCAAAGGGTTGTGACCAAGGCCCCCGGGAAAATCTATAAATTATCAAAGGTAGATCCCGTAATTCGGGACCCTATATAGTTTCCACAAAAGTGTGCTTTATAGGAACCCTTTCAGGGGATCTACTTTTTGCATCCTTGTGCCCGAAGGTTTCTGTGAGGGTCACCGACAGCACATTGGGCTGTTGACTGCTTGCACCAGGGAATTAAAAGGTAAACCTTTCGGATTACTACGAAATTATAAGAGCCCAAAAAGTTTAAAGGTTGGGTATTGGAGAACAAAGCCGGGGCGCCATGAAGAAGAACATGCCCAGCAGGAGGATTCCCACAATCCTGGCTTGAAGAACTTGGGTCATACCACTATCTACGTGCCATGTTGTGTTACGACATGACACTGTTATATTGACTAGCAGCTCTAGGTACCATATTGTGGTACTACATGATAATTTCATGTTTTACTATATTATGTTATACTATATAATTTTATGTTCTTGTATTTTACATTATATGATATTATATTGTATTACATCATATTATATCATATTATAATATACTATAAAAATATGTTGTATTATATTGTATAATAAGATATTTTTTACTATATTATGTTCTATTGTATTCTACTATATTATATTATATTATATTATATTATATTATATTATACTATATTATATCATATCATATTATATTCTCTTCTATTGTATATTGTACTATTACATTACATAATATATTAATATATAGTATTATATATTGGGGAGTATATGAATTTAATTGAATTATATTATATTACAGTATTTGTATATTGTATTATGTTATTCTTTATATTATCTTCTAGTATATCATATTTTACGATAATATATTACATTACATTATATTATATTATACTATATATTATAATATTATATTATATTTTTGATTGTATTATACTATATTATATTAGATTGACCTACGATAGGACTCGTGGTTCCAAAGCTGGGTCCCAGCTTAAGGCCGCCGTCTGAAGTGCAGAACTCACAATATCTGCTCCAGCTACCTGCGCAGTGTAGGGCTTTGGGGTTTAGGGCTTAGGGGTTTAGGGTTTAGGGGTTTAGGGGTTTAGAGGTTTAGGGGTTTAGGGGGTAGGGTCCCTAAACCCCAGGCCGTGAGTCATTCATCGCTTCGGCTTGGATGCCTGAAGGCCCAAACTCAGATTGTTGCTGAAGCGCCAAGGGTTCTACTTGGAGGGTCATGGGACTTAGTAAGTAAGGTTATAAGTACCTTAATTGGAGTTAACCATAGTTACCTTATTTATAACCCTAACTACTAAGTCCCATGATCCTCTAAGTATGCAGCCCCAAGGATGACAGTAATGTAGAGGCCTATAATTACCAACACTATTTTGGGGAATTCCTTCTATACTTATAATTTTTGGGGGCTCCATTATAATTGTAGTTTTGGGAGTTCCTTATTATTATAATTACAGGTCCAAAGCAAGCAGCACAGTATGCGTGATGTAGGAAACTGACTGAGACACCCGAAGTTGTCTGACTCCGGTTCTTAGTATGGATCCCAACATGTCAGTTGAGGTCTTAGCTTGAATCCCAACATTTCATGAGGGCTCTAAGTACGGAGCATTGGGGACTTAGAATTTGGGCAGCTCTCTAAATTAGGGTCCCTTTCGGGGTCCTGTTAATTTATAAGGGTGCACTACAGTACCTACTATATTGGGGACCGAAAAAGGGACCCGACTTTAGAGAACTACCGATTCAAGTTCCTAGTGATCCCAATACCAAGTCCTGGAGACCCAGGCAGCGTAGCTCGTCGCGAAGAGCTTGTAGAAGCTGTTGTTGTTCCTTCGTACGGTTCAGGGCTTAGGGGGTTGGGGTTTAGTGAGGGTAGGATTGCAGTGTTTCGGGCTTCATTCAGGGCTGCCGGACGGTGCTTCAAAGATACTTGAAAGAGGAAGCCGCTATAGAGACAAGAAACGAGTCAGATCCTTACTAGCAGCTTCTCCAAAGGAAGAAAACCCACATCCAGTAAGAAGCAGTGCGTCTTCGTCAACCCCTACTTTCCCAGAAGCTGCATGCTGTCCGAGGCACTGATAGAACCCTAAACTCTACACCCGAAACCCGAAACCCTAAACCCTAAGCCCCACACCCTGAATCCTAACCCGAAACCGTCTGCATGCTGTCCGAGGCACTGGTAGCTCACCTTCCAGTCACCCGAGAGCACCTCGCCCAAGAGGAAGTAGATGGAGAGCAAGAAAGTTGCCAGCATCACCTGGGTTTCCGGTTTAGGGCTTGTGGCTTAGGTTTCCGGTTTAGGGTTTGTGGTTTAGGTTCCAGGGTGGTTTTGCAGAGTAGAGTTTGGGGATTCAGAGAGTTTGGATGATAGGGCCTTGGGCCATTTCGGGCTCTCGAACTGAGATGGCCCAGAAGGTAGGCTTTTCTGGCATGCCGGGAGCGGGGTGGGGGTTCAGGGTCTTTGAGGGTTTAGGGTTTCTAAGCGGCCCTAAACCCTAAACCCAAAGCCCTAAACCCTAAACCTTCCGAGTAGCCAAGCGGAAACAAGAGTATCAGCGACACAAGCCCCTTCGTGTGAGGTGCTGGAGTGCCCAAGGGTTCGTGCATGGACACCACCAGGGTTACAACTGCATACAAGGAAGGATGCATCAAACCCTAAACCCCAAACCCTAAACCCCAAACCTTAAGCCCCAAACCCTAAAACCCCAAACCCTAAGCCCTAAACCCCAAACCCTAAACCCCAAACCCTAAACCCCAAACCCTAGGCCCCCAAACCCTAAACCCTACACCCCAAACCCTAAACCGACAGCTACAGACAAGGATGCCTCACGTATCCCTGAGCCTTAGCATCAGCAGCAGAAGAAGGTGTGAGGGTTAGAATCTCGAAACTCTAAACTAAACCTTAGCCTTAGATCAAGTCCTTACGCCAGGAGGCCTAAACCCTAAAGCCCAAAGCCACAACATTTCTAAACCAACCCAAAGCCCAGCTGACTAGCAAAGCCCAAATGTGGGGTTTAGGTTTAGGGTTTAGGGTTCAGCTGACTACAAAACCCTGCAAGTTCAACAGACGGGTCGCTAGGGCCAAGCTAACAATGGCTGTGGGGTAGGGCGCAATCCTCAAGAGCAGCAGGTAGAGGTAGCTGAGGAATACCTGAGACGCGGAAATGAGTGGGGACAAAATCCAAGGAACTGAACACGGGTTCTCTGACCCGGACTTTTCCGACAAGGGCATCGATGGTGCGCCTGGAGCGCGTGATGTGTCAGGTTGGGGAAGTAGGCAGCTTACCCGAAGCCGTAAAACGAATCCGGAAAGCTGTCTCAAGCAGCATTTCGTCCTGACATCGAATTTCTAACTGTGCTGACAGCAAAATGCCCGCAACCCCTTAAGCTTAACATCCCCCCATTGTTCAACCCACAAGGCCATTACATCCCAACCCGCCTCAACCCGCAACAAGGAGCACTCCCGAAGCCCTGACTTCAAGGGATCATGAGACTTAGTAGCTGGGCCGGTAGATACGGTAGCTGTACTTGAAGGTACTGATAACCCTAGCTAATGTAGGAGCCTGATTAAGAAACTCTGGCCCTATAATTATTACCCCAATATATTGGGAATTCATATAAAGAACCCTAAAAAAGACCCAGAGTTCCTTAATCAGGTTCTGTTTTTTTGGGGGGCACTTAGAAACCCTACTTACTAACTTCCCTGGTCCTCCAAGAAGCCAAGCCACCGAGAACACCACGGCGCCGAGCACCATCCTCAATACCCCGAAATTGAAGTGAACTGGGGAGTTCTCTAAAATAGGGTCCCTTTTTAGGTCCCCAAATATAGTACGGCACCCTTTTCTTACATTAAAAAAGGAACCTAAAAGGGACCCTACACTTGAGAACTACCCAACTGGTTCCGGGCTTTATGGCTTTGGGATTGAGGAAAGCTACTGCTTTAGGATGCGGTGAAGCCTAGGTTGTTCAGCTTTGCTATTTTCCCTTCAGTTGTGTACGACTTCAGCGTGACAGTATGAAGGCTGTGTCATACACGAAGCAATGACTTGGAGGTATTGGAAAGTGTAAGACTTCTCTTCAGGAAGTTTAGAGCTTTCCGGAAGTTCACGATCTGAAGGGATTCAGGAGAACACCGAAGCCTGGCGAAGTCTCAAAGCCGCCAGGCCACGATTATGATTGTTGCTATGAACCGCAGCAGATGCAATGTAGTAGTATTCGTGTTTTCTTAGTACATTGAATATTCTTTATTTTAGGTATTATAGTTGGTAGTACTTTCAAGATGTCTAGTACTCTTACCGTCATTACAAAGCCCGAGCCGCCGCCAGGACCTGCGGAGACCGCCGAAAGCTGCTGCCATCCGGTAGTAAGAGTTACCTGAGACTCGAAGTACCGCAGCACATGCTTTTCGAAGGGTGTAGTATATGGCATAGGGATAATCCTGCTACAGGCAATAAGACTACGAACGGAAGCATCATAGCAATCGTGATTTAGGAGGCCCTGCAGATAGTCTTATACCAAGACGGCGAAGACTGCCAAAAAAGCGCGCTCACATTGGCTTAAGCCAGCAAAGTGAAGGCTGCACTTGAGTTTAAGGATTTTCACAGGGAGTTTACCTCAACTTACTTCCCCAAATAAGGGGATTAAAAGGTTGACCTTTCAGATTGCTACTGAATTATAGGAGCCCAAAAAGTTTAAAGGTTGGGTATTGGAGAACTAAGTCAAGGAGTTTCTGTGAACTGGGGTCTTCTTTTGGGTTTGGGCTTTGATGCGGGCGGAAGACCTTCCCAAATCCCTCGCGATAGTTAGTAGCCCTGAACGGAGATCCCATCTACTGCTACATGGCATGAACATGGATGTATACATACATGTGTATGTATGTACCTGTGTATATAAGTATATACGTACACATATTATGTCCATGTAAATACATACATACGTATACATACATGTTACACATATATATATATCGCGTATATCTATATAATACAGACATGTAACACAACATATGGGTAGTTCTCGAAAGTAGGGTCCCTCGTTGGGTCCCCAATATAGTACGACACCCTTATTATAAACAAGGACCCTTAAAGGGGACCCTAATTTGGAGAACTACCCATACAGTACCCTTATCCCTTATAAACCCTAAGCCCTAAACCCTTATAGATCCCTTTAATGGAACCCCAAAAAAGGGACCCTACTGTAGAGTACTACAACAGATAGTTGTTCGTAGGGCCGGGGATCCTATTGGCCCATAGTCGTCGAGGAGAGACTCCACGAGGGGATCGTCCCCAAGGATTTCCTGATCCTCGCAGCAAAGAGAGGATGCTTTAGGTTTAGGGGTTTAGGGTTTTGGGGGTTTTGGGGTTTAGGGGTTTGGGCGTTTAGGATTTAGGGTTTAGGGATTTAGGGTTTGGGGGTTTAGGGTTTAGGGGTCTAGGGGATTCAGGGGGGGGGGGGGTTGGGGGGTTAAAGTTGGTGGTGTATTGTACTGTTGCAACAACGCCAACTGCTTGTATGTTACTTCATACATTATATCTTCATGTTTGCTCGCAAACATATGGGTAGTTCTCTAAGTTAGGGTCCCTTTTGGGGTCCTTTCTATGACGGTGCCGTGCTATTTTGGGGACCAAAAAGGGACCCTGAATTTAGAGAACTACCCATAAAACCACTGAGCCATGACCCCAACCCGAAGCTCCGAACCGCCACAATCCCCTCCTAGGTCCCCCCAGTAACCCCTTAATAATAAGGGTACCCTTTTTCCTACTGCTTGGCTTTAATAAGGGAACCCAAAAAGAAAAAGGGCAAAAATACTGCGGAACCTGGCCTCTTGAAGTGTGGCTGGCGAAGCCTCGGGGGGCTGGGGGGCCTTTATGTCTGCGCTTTGAGCAGACCAGCTTTGCTGTAATGAGCCTTGAATCCCTACACTCCTACACTAAATCCCTAAAGCCCAAACCCAAAACCCTGAAGCCCTAAAGCCCAAACCCAAAACCCTAAAGCCCTAAAGCCCAAACCCAAAGCCCTGAAGCCCCAAAAGCCCAAAATCCGAAACCCGAAAGCCCCCGGGTCCTCATCAAAGTGGGGCACGCAGAACATGCCAGCAAACTCCCGGGTTCCTTTGGTTTTTGGGAGCTTGGGGTTGAGAGAATTTGGGGCTTGCTGTTTTAGGGCTTAGTCTAGGGGCTTAGGGGTTTAGGGTTTAGGATTTAGGGTTTAGGGTTTAAGCGTTGAGAGGCTTAGGGGTTTAGGATTTTTTGGGGGGCTTGGTGTTTCTAGTTGGGGTTTTGGGGGGTTCCTTTTAAGGATTAGGGCTAGGGAGTTTGGGGTTTGCGTTTATGGTAGGCTTTACTGACTGGTTCGTATTAGGGAATGGAAGAGTGGGTTCTTGGGACTACCATAGGGGACCTTAAGGGGCTATCATAGGGATCCATTCCCCCATTCCCTACTAAGAACCAGAGAGAAGGTAGGTGACTGTTGAGGTCTTGCCTTTCATGGTGTGTCCTGGCTCAGTAGGAGAGTTGCTGGCAGAAGGGACCCAGATCGATCCCTAAAGAAGTTGGGTCCTGATCATGGAGTTCTATCCAAACGACGAAATCACCGGTGAGTTTAAAGTAGATGCCTGAACACTTGGAACATCGTTGTCCTCATGCCCTTAAGGTGAGCATAGGGGCGTTCATACCAATCCGGATTTTAGGGCATGTCTTAGTGCGAGCATCATGAGGAACCCAAATGAAGAATATCGGCAGATAGGGGAGGTCAGCTCTAGTCATCCCGAATACCTGTTCCTTAACTTCTGGGATTCACGGTAATTGCAGAGGAAGCCGCGGTAGGACGCTTGCTTCACGGTGTTCTGGGTGATGGTGATGCGCTGCGAGACGAAAGGCTCACTGCCCGAGGGCGTCACCTTGCGCGGAGCGGCTTTCTTGCGGCTTTTGGGGGCATCTACCCCTAGCACAGAAATCCTTGTAAGAAGGATCCTAAGACCTCAGGTTTGTCTTGGGGTTACTAGTTTCTGACAGCCCTGGATACACCCTAAACCCTAAACCCCTAAACCCTAAACCCCTAAACCTTAAACCCTAAACTAAAAGCCGCGGTGAGGCCTGCGGCGACGAGAAAGCCAAGATGAGTCTGTGTTCGTTGTTGCGGTGGTGACATCTCGCACATATCGGGCCGGGCAGAGACTGCGAGTTTCGAATCCCACAAGACGTTTGGCTGCTTGGGCTTACTAGGAGAATAGGGTTTTGGGGTATATCATGCTATAATTTCTTAAGGAACCAACCCCCAAAAACAGTTTTGGGGTTTATCATGCTATAATTTGCGTTAAGAAACACCCCCCAAAAAAACTAGTATAGGTAATTCTTTAGGCCCCT